CGCGCAGCGGCGAGGACCTCGCTCTCCTGGTCGCGTCCCCTGGGCCGACGGGGCGGGCGGGCTCAGCGGCGCGCTGGCTCCCCGCGTTCGAGCCTCTTCTCCGCAGGTCCGCGGACGTAAACAGCGCTGGGGCCGGTGCGGCGCCGAGGGCGCGCCCGCCTCCCTTCAGTGCGCCCGCCTCGCCGCCAGGCGCGCCGTCCTGCCGGCCGCTTCAGCAGTGCTTCGGGCTCTGCGGGACTCTGCCCCGACAACGAGCCGGATCCTCGGCCCCTCGCGCTCCGCCCCCTAGAGACAGGACCGCCCAGAGCGCTTTCCGAAACAGACACAGCGCTGCACACGCACACACCACACACAATGCCCCCGCGCGGTGCCCGCTCCGGCCCGCCCGCTCTCGGTTTCGGTGCGCTGGGCGCGACCCTCTTCTTCCCTCTCCTCGCGGGAGGGTGGGTCACTTCTCGGCGGCGCCCGGGCAACAGAGGGCAAAGGAGAAGCCGCGAGGCTCTCGCAGGCAGTGGGCACAGGGCAGGTCCCGGGCCACGGAGGGAGCGGCCGGGTCGGCGGCGAAGCGAGGGGCGTCGCTGGGCGGCGGGCGCTGGGGAGGTTCCAGGTTTGGCCGGAGGGTGAGTCCGCTCTCGCGGCCGCTGAAGACAGCAGGGAGCGGCGGAGGAAACAGGCGCCCAGCGGCTCGACTCCTGGGAGGGATCCCACCGTCCCGTCCCCTTGCGCTCCTCCCCCGCCGCCTCCCCCACCCCAGGGCGCGCGGCAGGTTCTGAGCGGCGCAGCCCGGGTTCGCGATCCCTCCCTCTCCCGGCCTCCGGGCTCCTTCTTCCCTTTCCTCCTCCCCTTCCCACGTTCGACCGGCTCCGGTTTCTGCTCAGACTTTCTCTGAAACTCGGCCGGAGCGCTTCCAGCCAAAACAACAAGGGCTGGGGAGGAGGGGACGGAGGGAGGGAGGGAGCGAGAGAAGGAGGGAGCGGGAGTTCGAGAAGCACCCTGGGATCTGTAGTTCAGGAAGGAAGCGGGAGCAGGGTCCTCGCCCGGGGCCCCTAGCCTGCTCCTTGCCCGGGAAGGCGGCGGAGGCCTCGGTGGGGGCAGCGTTGCCGGGGCTCGGGGACGAGCGAGGGACGTTCGAGTATTCGGTCCAGGGTTTGCCATTTTGACTCAGCCCTGATGTCAGTTCGGAGTTTGTACTGTGCTTGAGATCGGGAGTTTCGGGGCTTTTCTCGACTTGACAACATGCAAAGCAACACGGGCTGGAGGGAGACCGCGATCCCGCTGGTCGCCGCTGCGGGAGACTGAAGGGCTGGGACCAGGAGGGCGAGGGCGCGGGGGAGTGCGCCATGGCCACCAGCCGGGAGTGGAGGACCGCTGGTGTGCGCCAAGGCTGGTGTGCGCCAAGGCTAGTGTGCGCTGGTCCCCGGGGAAGTCCTGCCAGGGTAGTGGGAGCACTTAAAGGGGCCAAATGATTTGATTGGTTCTATCTCAGGGACGTTTTAAAGTCTCCCACTCCCTCCATTTGTTGCCTATTTCTTCCGCTTGACTTTATGTTTGCTTAAGATCTACCCTTGGTGTGTTGAACTGGAAAAGGGAAACTTACTGGGTGTCCTATTTCTATTTGCCTACTGGTGTATGTTTTACAATTATTGTACCCAGTCCAGAGTTTAACATGATCCTGTAATAGAAATATCTTTTCCAATTTATTTTTGAGAAACAAAGCCCCAGATTTTAGAAGAGAATATAAATAATCACATAAAAGTGCTAAAAATATGAGGAGATAAGTGAACATTTCCAGAAAAAATAACCTCAGGCATTTTATTTTTTATTACCACACCATTCATATTCAGCAGTTCCTCTGAGTTTGAAAATGTTATACGGTTCTAGCTTCAGCAGCACACATACTGAAATTGGAACAATACAGGGAAGATTACCATGGCCCCTGCACAAGGATGACATGCAAATTCGTGAAGCTTTACATATTTTTTTAAAAAAGAAAGAAAATGTTATAAGATTGTAGTAAGAAAGTAGGTGACAGGATGGTGACAACACAAAAGCCCTGCATACCTAGGGATGGTGGCATAGGATAGTAAACAAGTAAAGGGTCAACAAAACTACAAATTGGGATAAATGTGTGCTCTGAGGGAAGTAAACACAGTAAGATGGAGTTGTAACGGGTGAGACTAAGTCAGATGGAAGGAGAGGGGAGTCTTCTCTGAGGAGGTATTAAGCCAGAGACTTCAAAGATGTTGTGAAGGAGAGAGGAGAGTCAGACTTGTTTTGTGGATGGATAAAAGGAATAACCATAAGGAAGACTCAAAGAGAAAGAAGCAGCAAAAAGGTTGCTTCACAGTGAGGCCAAATGGCAACCTCTGTGATATGGATTGGATTGTGACCCCCAAAGTTCCATGTATTAGAAACTTAACCCTCACTGTGACAATGTTAAGAAAGTGGGAATTCCTATTATGGCAATGGAAATGTTGAACCTTGAGGAGGTGGTTATATTGTGAGGACCATGCCCTAGTGAATGGATTAATCCATTGATGGTTTAATGGTGGTCATGGGCATGGTTCTGATCGCTTTAAAAAGAGAGCATGTGAAAGCTCTTTTTCTGTTTTGCTTCTGCCATTTCTTCATGTGACACTCTGCGTTGCTGTGAAGAGTCACCACCTGTCAACAAAAGGCCCTCACCAGATGTGTTCCCTGGACTTTGGACTTCTCAGTTCTGAAACTGTAAACAATAAATACAGTTTCTTTACAAATTACCCATTTGTAATTACCCATTAGGCATTTCTATTATAAGCAACAATAACAGACTAATACACCCTGCTAACCTGGAGATGAGGATAGGGAAAAGGGAGGCTGCTGAATTGTATAAGGTCCAGTCTCCGAAGCTAACATACATGGTACATTGCAAAAGCTCCTGAGTAGGGTGGACAGGTTGGGAAAGACTTCTTCCCTGAGGAAAAGACTTTAAACAGAGATCCTTAGAATAAGCAGAAGTCGGCCTGGCGGAAGTAGTGAAGAAGAGTATACCAGACAAAAGAGAAACCACCAGGTGTACAGGTCCTCAGGCTGGAAGGAACTTCTAAGGAACTGAATGAAGGCAGCAATGAGGAGAGTGAGAGACATTAGCCCTGGATGAAGTTACAGAGGCAGGCAAGGGACGGATTGTGCTAGTCCTTGAAGATCACCTTAGAGTTAGACCTTTCCTTAAAGCAAATACCATGTCATCTGCTATCGCCTTCAAGTCACCTCAAACAATCCCCCTTATAGACTTTGTTATTCACCTCCAGCATCCCACTTTAACCGCACATCTTCCAACTTGATTTTCCAAATTCTCCCTATGTAATCTTTCTTTTCAACAGCTCACCTAGTCTATTGACACCTCTGCTTTCTCATGACCCATCAGACATCTCCTTTCTTTACTCGCCCCCTCCCCATCCAGTTTAAAGTCTTTGGTCCACATTTCCAATAACAAGCTCGCATCTCACAAAACCCCAACTCTGGACAAACCTGACTGTATTTCCTTCTGCACCCAAGCTGCCAAGTACAGCTGGAGCAAGTCACACAACAGGATGAATGGCATCACTATAAATTCATGTTCAGTGACCTCAGACAGATTTTGAACTATGCACAGGGGCAGATCTTGGATTGCTGGGACCTGAAGTTTATACAGTTTGAGGAATCCTATTTAAAAAAAGAAAAAGTATGCAATCACAAATACAAAATTAGGATGAATATGTTAGATGAAGAAATAAATCACCAACAAATCACTAAAGGCTTGTAGATGCACATGCCCTTCTTCTAAGATCTATAGGTAATTCACCAGAATCCTTACAAGCTTATGCTTCCTGAGTACAGCCTGGCATCTCCTCCCAATTAGGATACTCCACCTCTCCCAGCAGCCCCCTACTCTCATGGGGGCCTGTGTAATGAGAGGCCCTGAGCTGAAGCTTC